TGTGTGTGTGTGTGTGTGTGTGTTGTGTGTGTGTGTGTGCGTGTGTGTTTGTGTGTTGTTGGTGTGTGTGTGTGGTGGTGTGTGTGTGTGGGTGTGTGTGTGTTGTGTGTGTGGTGTGTGTGTGGTGTGGTGTGGTGTGTGTGTGTTGCGTGTGCGTGCGTGCGTTGCGTGCGTGCGTGCGTGCGTGCGTGCGTGCGTGCGTGCGTGCGTGCGTGCGTGCCGTGGCGTGGTGTGTGTGTGTGTATGTTTGTGCATAAGTATACACATATACAAATTATATATACATTTCTCTCTCTCTCTCTATCTATCTCTATCTCCTCTCTCTCCCTGTTTTTTTTATTTCCATTTCTTTATTCCACGGGAAGCAGCACTTCAAGCACGGAAGGAAGTCGAGGCTGGGTCAAGGGTCAAGGCTGCTGCCGTCCTATGGCTTCAACAAACCTTGGAAAGCACAAACACGCCCTCAGACACGAATGACAAAGAAAGGAAGAGAGGAAGGAGGAAGGAAGGAAGAAAACAGGTTGAAATCTCCTGCGAGTCGATCATCTTTAAAAGGAAGAGAGGAAGAGAGGAAGGAAGGAAGAAAACAGGTTGAAATAATCTCGATCATCTTTATTCCTCCTGCTTTAATTTCTCGAGTTCCTCCTTTACTATGTTAAGGAACAGTCTTTGGCCTTCAGTCAGTTCGTCCTCTTCTCCTCCTTCCTCTTCCTCTTCCCTCTTTCTCCTCCTCCTCTTCCTCTTTCTTTGTCTCATGTCTGCCCTCCGTCATGTCGCCCATGTTATCGAAGAAGGTCGCGATGACTTGCTGCTGCAGCAACACGAAGAAGATGATGGTCATGTAGACGAACATGACCTGGCCGACGGTGCCCTTGGCCTCGTAGTAGGCGTCGTAGTCCATGTCCTCCTGGATGATGGCGATGAGAGCCACGAGGGAGCGCTCGAACGAGGAGAAGTTCTCCGAGTCGGCGCCCAGCTGCTGGTACACCATGCTGGCCATGAAGAACTGCATGACGGTCACGCCGACCAGGAAGGGGATCGTCCTGAAGGCGGCGCTCTGCAGCGAGAACATCATCCTGGTCAGCTTCCTGGTGCCGTGCCACTCCAGCTGCAGGTAGCGCAGGAACACGGCCATGACCCAGACCACTTCGAAGACGACCTCGCGGGCGTACGTCGCCGTCGCGCGCTCGACCCCAACGTAGTCGCCGTCCTCGTAGGCCGCGTCGGGCTGGGCACCCTCCGCTCGCGCATTCGCGTCGCAGCGCCCCTGCCGATGACCCCGTTTCCGTGGAGGATGCAAGAAAGGCACATGATGATGATGAGGTCAATCACTAAGGAACTGCAAGGTCCTTTGCTGGGCGGGAATACACGAAGGACAGGAGGTCCGTCACGCGGAGCGAAGGCGACGGCGAGGCCCAGGGTCAAGTAGAACAGGAAGGTGGGTTGGCGGAAGTTGGAGTGCACGGCCGGGGTCATCCACCAGCTGTCGAAGGCGAGGTTCTCCCACACGAACTGGCGGCGAGCTAGAAGATCTCGTTCTCCTTGTCGTACAGGGTGAAGGACAGGCTGACCGTCCTCGTCAGGCTGTCGACCCACTCGCCTTGCTCCAGCTCCGCCAGAACAGCCGTCAGGTGCTCCGAGTAGCAGTCCTTCGCGCTGCCCTTGCAGGACGCGTTGTTGGCGATGGCCGGCGAGAAGAGGTCGAGGAAGTAGCCGCGGTTGGGGACCGGGCCACGCGGGCCCCTGCATCACGGGCCAGGGCCGGCGTCGGGGCTGTATACACCCACCTGCCGTCCTGGGTGGCCGTGAAGTTGGCGGCGCCCTTTACCGGGGCTCTCGGCCTCGCCCGCCCACTCGCACGGGCGTCCCGTAGATGTTCACAAAGTCGTCGCTCGCCGCCCGCACACTGGCGCAGGCGGGGCGTGCCGACCACCACACGGCCGCCTCCTCGCCGAGAAAAGACAGCTTGCGAGCCAGGAAAGCGGACTGGTGGGACCCGAATGAAGTCCTTCAGCGCCTGGCGGGGCTGCAGGTCCAGCGGCCGGATCTCGTCGTTCCATCCGAGGCGCCCGTCCAGCGGCAGGACGTCCGAGGAGAGGATCGCCAGGGACTCGTGGTCGAAGCCGGCGGCGGGAAGGAGGGCGGCGATGGTGGCCACGAACAGCGCCGCGAACAGACCCAGCTGGCAGTAGGACGCCAGGTCCCCGTGCGAAGGATAGCGGGCCATGGCGCGGGAGCAGCCGGGCCGCGGAGGGGCTGCCGACCCCGGTTGGGGACTTGGACAGGCTGTGTGTGTGTGTGTGCGTATTTATGTATGTATGTGTATGTGTGTTAACATTTTGAGACGAGCTTAAACAAATGTCCACAAAGGAGAATCATAATCAATTCCTATTTTTCGTTAAACTTACTTTGCAGCGCTGTGGAATTGACAAGGAAGAGAAGTGGAGATGGGAGAGAGATAGAGAGAGAGAGGAGAGAGAGAGAGAGAGATAGAGAAGAGGAGAGACAGAGAGAGAGAGAGAGCGAGAGAGACAGAGAGCGAGAGCGAGAGAGAAATAGCGAGAGGCGACCCACCTGAGCACGAGCACGAGCGCCGGCAGGTTCCCGGGCGGTGCAGGTAGAGCGGCGCGTGGAGGTGGTGGCGGGGTGCAAGCGGGGCGCGCGGCACGAGCGCACGTGCACGGAGGGAGGGGTCGGACGAGAGCTCCTCGTAGCCGTGCGGGTCCAGCGTGAGGACGACCTCGCCCACGGGCGTCTCGGGCTGCACCGTGACCCTGGGGCCGCCCTGGTTGGGGCCGCCCGCGTCGCGCACGGCGCACTCCTTGGGCCCGGCCGCCGTGCCCACCAGGTACGACACCTGCACGGCCACGCGCGGCAGCTTGAAGGTGGCGCGCGTGTGCGGCGGCCACCAGCGCGCCGGCACGGCCATCGTCACCAGGCACGTGGCGTCGCCGCCCGTCTCCTTGGCGCCCGTGGGCGTGCACGAGGCGGAGAGGGCGTCATTCCTGCGGCGGGCGATCACGGTCACGCACACGTGCGGCGAGTGGTGCCCGCGCGCGCCGGCGCCGTGCACGAGCACCCTGAGGGCGGGGTGCGCGCGCGTGACCTCCGTGTTGACCAGGTGGGCGGACACCTCCAGCTGGTGCGGCACGGGCGGCAGGTGGCGGCCCAGCAGGTCGGCCTCCGTGGCGTTGGCCTCCTCCTCGTCCTGGAACTCCGGCAGCACGTACCGCGCCGGCACGGTCTGCTTGGTGCTGAAGGGGCCGTACTTGGCGCGGATCAGCGTGGGCCGCGTCGGGTCCAGCACCGTGAACCGCTTCACGTCCAGCACGCCGCCGTCGCCGCCGCCCACGCCCGCGGTCAGGGGCGCGCCCAGGGTGTCCTCCGGCCGCAGGAAGAACCCGCTGTCGGGGTTCAGGAAGTGCACGTCGACGGCCGCCGGAGCCTGGGGGGAAGGGGGAGGGTGGAGGGTTAGACACAGCCCTTGGGAACAGCAATAACGATGATAATAATGAAAAAATATAATGTAAAATAATCATAACAATAATGATAATACTAATAACAATGATAATATAATAATAATAATAATATAAATAATAATAATAATAATTATTATTATTATTATTATAACAATAACAACAATCACAATGCTAATGATGATAATCGATGATGATGTCAAGGAACATCACGTCGAAGGCCACCGGAGCCTGTGGAAGGAGAGGTGTGTGTGTGTGCGTGTGTGTGTGTGTATGTGTGGTGTGTGTGTGTGTATGTGTGTGTGTTGTGCGTGTGTGGTGTGTGTATGTGTGTGTGTGTGTGTGTTGTGTGTTGTGTGTGTGTGTGTGTGTGTGTGTGTGTGGTGTGTGTGTGTGTGTGTGTGTGTGTGTGTGTGTGTGT